AAAACTCTCCAGAAAGTGCCATTTAATGGTTTATTTTTCAAAAAAAAAAAAAGAAATTTCGTTCTCTTTTAAAGATCGGATGGGGGGCCCCATACTACCTTCGCCTTGGGCCCCCAATTTGCTAAATCCGCCACTGAGTGTAACGTGCGTCATTGATTTCATAACGAGTTGTCCAGATAAACTCGCGCTGTGTGGAAAGATTGTTCTTTGATCGCTTTCTGTATAATTTGTTCACAATTTAAATAAGATTCTTTTCATCCTACTAAAAGAAATGATGTGAAGTTGATATTTTAGTCACTGGCTTGACTTACTGATGCATAAACAGTATTGAACGATTTTGAGAGAAAGGTTACCTGACCTGTCTGAACTTGAACAATTAGGCTAACTTACACATCAGAAATTGTTGCTTGGTAGCTCGATCGATTTATTTTCAGTTGTTCATCGAGTTGAGGAAACAGTCGTCGGTGAAATGTTTGGACCATACACAACTTTGGGAAGTTGTGTCGGCGCATTTCCAGAGAAAATAAAATTAACCCATTGTTTCTTCAGAGGCTCGGATGAAGGAACTAAAAAATACTTTTGTGTTCATTTGTATATTCGAACACTGATCAACTGCCATGCTTCGCTCGTTTGCAAGCCATGATATCTCTCGAGAAAAAACTCAAATCTCAAGGCTATTTCTCTAGGAAAAACTCAAATCGCGCCGGCGCGTTCGTACTTCCTGTTCCTAGCTTGTTTTCTCATGGGCGAGCCAAATTCTCCGGGCGGGCAAAGCAGAGAAAGGGGAGGTAACCTTTCCTCGTTATGACGTCATAACGAAGAGATTCAAGCTGCAGAGAAGAGAAAAATAGCCAAAGCTCGGTTTACACCGATTGAAAATTCTAGACACAAGGGGACCAAATACAGGCTAGGGGAACTAATATTAATGTTAAAAAACCTCAGAAAGTGAAAATTTCATGTCAGGGGATCTTTAACATACATCCATGCATTTTTTTTAAACAATATTTTGGTTAAAACTAATAAATTACACATTTTGGAGGACACTACGTATATTGATTATATGACAATAGACATGGAAAGACGATTTAATTTTGATTTTGTGGGGTCTTTAAAGTGCCCCTATTATGCTATTTTAAAGGTTCCAATTTTTGTTTTAGAGGTCACCTACGATACATGCATATAGGAAAAAAAACTAAATTGGTCTACTCTGTTCTGATTGGTCAGATGGTCCAGTCTGTGATTGGTCTACTCTGTTCTGATTGGTCAGATGGTCCAGTCTGTTGTGATTGGTCTACTCTGTTCTGATTGGTCAGATGGTCCAGTCTGTTGTGATTGGTCTACTCTGCTCTGCTCTGATTGGTCAGATGGTCCAGTCTGTTGTGATTGGTCTACGCTGCTCTGATTGGTCAGATGGCCCCGTCTATTGTGATTGGTCTACTCTGCTCTGATTGGTCAGATGGTCCCGTCTATTGTGATTGGTCTACTCTGCTCTGATTGGTCAGATGGTCCAGTCTATTGTGATTGGTCTACTCTGCTCTGATTGGTCAGATGGTTCAGTCTGTTGTGATTGGTCTACTCTGCTCTGATTGGTCAGATGGTTCAGTCTGTTGTGATTGGTCGACCGCTTACATCGTGTGTCAGAAACGAAACGGCCATTGCCATATCTGAATTTCAGCTCCAGTCTTCCTCAGCACGGTGATACGAAAAGTAACAATGGTGTCGGTTTTACTGCATCAATTCGAGCGTGAATCCTCTTCCTTTTAAAGTGCATGCAAAACAGCGCTGAAAACAGCATCTTCTCGACATGTCAACAACACAAACCAAACTCTTCTAGTCTCAGTTACAACTAAAGTGTTTGAGGGTCAAAGTAGATGTTGTTTGCCAGCAGCCAATTAGAACCATATATGGTATGTTGGCTTTACTTAACTTTTTTATGTAAACAGGTTCCACCGGTTCCACATATGATATGTTGGCTTTACTTAACTTTTTTATGTAAACAGGTTCCACCGGTTCCACATAACTATGTTTCGTTAAACAAACATAATATGTTCATGTAACTTCAACATCATGGAATTTGGTCATTTTAAGCGACCCAATTAAACTCTGAGCTAATGAGTTAATTAAGTGAATAACTGAGTGATGATTGAGCATTATTGAAGACACCTGATGTTAACAAGCAGAATCTCTGAAGGAGAAAACCGGAATGTTTAAGTCACCATTATGGAGATAAGTGTGTGTTTTAGTTGGGCTCTTGACCATTAACTTATTAACTTAAGATTTTGTTTGGTTGCTGTACATGAGTTATAACAGCCGGATGAACAATGAACTAAGGAGATCTGATGGTGTTGGCTGTGATCTAACATAATCATTATTTCACAATCATTTGACCTCAATCACTGAACTTATATTGAACCCAATTTCTGAGTTAAGTTTACCTTACTGTCATTGTAGAGCATACTATTTTTAGCCTTTTCAATGAAATTCAAATGATCAAATCAAGATATAGAAAATAAACTTCTTAAAAAATATCCTGAGTAGGCACACACAGACATCAATAATTAGCATATGAATCTCAGCAATGGTGACAAACAGATCATAAGCTCATTATTTATTCATGCAGCAATGCATGATGGGAGCCACAAATGAGTTTTGATTGGTGGCACCCAGAATGCACTGCAACATGCTTTATAATTGTCACCATTGTTGAGATTCACAGGCTGATTCTTGATGTCTGTGTGTGCCTACTCAAAATATTTTTTAGGAAGTTTCTTTTTTATTTATTGATTTGATCATTTAAATTTCATTGAAAAGTCTAAAAATAGTATGCTCTACAATGACAGTGCTGCTATTTTTCGTAAGGTAAACTTAACTCAGAAATTCGGTTTAATATAAGATCAGTGACTCAGGTCAAATGATTATGAAATAATGATTATGTTAAAACACAACCAACACCATCAGATGACCTTTGTTTATTGTTCATCCGGCTGTTATAACTCATGTACAGCAACCAAACAAAATCTAAAGTTAATAAGTTAATGGTCAAGAGCCCAACTAAAACACACACTTATCTCCATAATGGTGACTTAAACATTCCGGTTTTCTCCTTCAGAGATTCTGCTTGTTAACATCAGGTGTCTTCAATAATGCTCAATCATCACTCAGTTATTCACTTAATTAACTCATTAGCTCAGAGTTTAATTGGGTCGCTTAAAATGACCAAATTCCATGATGAAGTTACATGAACATATTATGTTTGTTTAACGAAACATAGTTATGTGGAACCGGTGGAACCTGTTTACATAAAAAAGTTAAGTAAAGCCAACATATCATTTTTTTGAGTGTAGTCTGGCATTATGCATTATGCATAATTTGTTACATTGTTGTATTGGTATGTAACAGGAAGTGAGACTGAAATTGCAGACTCATGCAAACTCATTTCAGCAGTTCAGGGTTGATTCTTTCTTTTAGGAGACAATAATTTAACTTGTTTTGCATTTTTAATCTTTAAAACCTTGCAGACCAAATCACAAACAGCTGTATTACACACCGCATGAAAGGCTATTATTCGGATAAGCATAATAGGGGCACTTTAAAATATGCAGTCAATATACGGATGGTGTTACAGACGCAGACTCTAGGATATATGTACTTCCTGTTATCAATCTGTGCCTTGTTCATTCCCGCTCCCAAATAGACCTAAGGTCAAGGGTCAAACTGTGTAATGACAGGAAGTGAGATACGGTGAGATTGTGAGAACGGATGAGACGCCGTAAACCAAGACAAACCGTCTGCTGTGCTGCAGGGTGTCTGGTCATAGGTTGGTTATCACTGACTCTTACTCTGTACAGAACTGTGCTATTTCAGATTGTTCTGTTTATATACATTACTGTTCAAAATTTGGGGACAGTATATTTTTTAAAGAAAGAGATTAATACATTTATTCAGGGAGGAAGCATTAAATAGACATTTATATTGTTCCAAAAGTCTCTATTTCAAGTAACTGTTGTTCTTTTGAATGTTCTATTCATCAAATAATCCTGACAAAAATAATATATGTTAATTTTTTGATAATAATAAGAAATGTTTCTTGAGCAGCAAATCATCATATTTCACGTGTCTTCTGTGTGGTTTTGGTACTTTGACTTTAGGTTCCTTGCCAGTGTTATTTGTTTCACCTGTTCCTTGTTTCCTCCCTCATTTACCCTGTGCAAAAGAAGTTATGTTTTAAAATGTTAAAATTGTAAAAAGCCATTTTATCACATGTAATAATCGTTCACAATTTGTACTTGATCGGGCCTCATCAGGGCTTCCTTGGGCGGCCTGGGGTTTTTTGGCCCATCCAATACCTTGGTCCAAAGCGGGCCAACTGGGGCTTGAGGAGTGGTTATGAACAAAAGTGTAGTCAGGAGAGGGTCAACACTGCTGCTCATTTCCCATGTTATCATACCAGACAGCTAACCTCAACATTTAAGACATTTGACAAAAAATTCAGCTCAAAACTCACTTTTCAGACACCATGCAAGTGTTTGAAATAACGTCCGATTGCGATCCGATGGGGATTCTGATCACCGTATGATGCAGAAATATATGCATCTGTCTGTTCCCTGTACCTTTGTTGATGGATACCGGACTAATGCGTCTACATATATGTAATAAATAACATACACCCCGTTTAACTCGTATAACTTATAATGCTCAAATCTCCTATTAATTTCCACTCTTTTTAAAGAAATGTGACGCAAACATGATATTTTATTAATATTTTTCGAAATGTGTTAGCCTTTGGACTTAAAAGTGTATGGAGTTGTTCTGTCCATTCCTGTGAGCACAAATACATGGAAGCCGATGCAACTGAAGAGGTGTATGTTCTCTTTGTATGTGAAATGGTGAATACCAGTTTGATTCAGCATTGATGTGCACTCCTGACACAAATGAATACATAACTGTCACTGTAACATTTTTTTATTGTAAAACATTGGTCAAATATCGATGCTTGAATCTTAAAGGAGCTGTATGTAAGAAATGTATTTCAAATAATCATAAAATGGCCCTGATATGTCACTAGACATTAATAAATCATGTTAATTTCAAATACTTGTATCACTGACAACAGTAGTCCAGCCATGATATTGTCATTTAAAAAGTGAAGTTGCAGCCCTCAACTGATGTTGATGTTGTCATGTTGTGTTTTGGTCTGATGCTCCACCCTCCACCTATCTACCAATCACAAAGTCAGTAGTGTTGCAGCATCCGGGTTGCCAGCTCTGCTCTAGTCACCACAGCTGCAGCTACAAACGTGTCGGATAAAAAAATGTTGGATCCTGCAGCCTATCTGGCAACCTCAAGTCAGGGGGGAGGGGGAGGGTATACACCACTCTACAGTAATTTGAAAGTGATTGCAGTACCAGTTTTGGCCACAATCTTACATACGGCTCCTTTAAGTCTTTAAGTAAAGGCCAAACGATCGCTTCTGTCATGCACATTTTAGATGTCCAATCTAGCTGGTCTTCAGTCAGCTGTTGAAATGGAAACTTGTTAAAGGAAGCTAATGAGCCAGAGCATGGACATGATGGAGTGAGCTCTAGCTCAGGGTCAGTGGCAGGTGCAGGCTCGGGCCCTTCTTCCATCATATCACTTTTGGTGTGAACAGACCTTAAAACATCAGAAAGTCATCACCTGAAAGTTCACCACACTCCACACCTGCACCCTATAATCCTGTTGTCTGAAGTCTCTCAAGCTTTAAAAATCCATTTATGAGCTAATTATTCCTTTGATATGTCCATGAAAAATGATGTCCACTATAAATGAACAGATGTGAAAGCTCTAGAAGCAAACAAACATCATCAGTCTTCTATCTATTCACTCGGCTCGCCTCTCACACATTTATTGTTTTAATAAAGCAGCAGATGAATAGTCTGACTGCGGTAAACTGTCCACATAAACACAAAAGGACTTTTATGAAGTCTTAAAATATGCATGGCATAGATATTACATCATTGAGAAAGATCAGATAGATATTAAAACCTCCACAGGCAGAGGTCAAAATCTCTCATACACTCTGGGCTTTAAATATAAAAGATGTGGGCTATCCAAGTGTGTGTGTGTGTGTGTGTGTGTGTGTGGTCCCGCCACCACAGAAAGTTGTTTGTAGTCATACAGTGTACACAAACAAATTTACACATGATTTTAATAAAATGTAAGACTATTTTAGTTTTTTTTTTAAACTAAACAAAACAAAACTCTGTGGCTGTATCCGAAATCACACACTTCCCTATTATATTGGAGACGAAAAACAGTATGTGAAAAAAGAAGTATGCCCGAATTCACATTACTCATATAAGAGTAGGCAAAAGTACCTGGATGACCGACTTCTTCCTGTGAGATTCTGAAGTGTGCATACGATGGACTCTTTACTGTCCCATGAGGCCACGGGAGAGGGTTTATGAATGGCAGTGAAGCGACGCAACTACTGACACTGTTAGGTCATGTGATAAGGGCAACATGGGCGAATGTTCATTATTCAAAATAAGATTTCTGATGTAACTACTGTCTTTTTTGGGAGGGTTTTGCATACATTTCCAAAACAAAAATCTGAACAAAGGATGAAGCTTTGATTTTGTTGACATTAGAGTTAAAGGTTTTTACATAGGGAATGTTATCTCTTTTTATCACTCCATAAAGCAGAAAATACTGCTTTTTTTGTTTAATTATTATTAGGAATGAAATGTAATATAAATCAGGAAATTGCTATATGAACAAACTCTTATATAAAAACCTTTACACATATATAAGTGTAATAAAATAAACAAATAAAATAGCATTTTGGATGTTTCCTTTCCACTGGTCTACAAGAAGACATGCTACAGAAGCAAACTAGCCCAGAAATTGTCCAAATTTACCATGAATGTTTGTCAAAAAGACATTTTTATTTTATTTTTCTTAGTTTCTCTCACTATTGCTGCTGCTGCTTCCGTGAGTTTCGACATACCCGGATTGTTTATTGCTTTATGCTTCCCTTCAGAGCCAGACAGCACAGAGTACCTCTGTAGAGTTCCTCTCTGGTTCTGCAGGACGAGTGTTGTCTCTTGCTGTCCGCTGCTGGAGTCTCTCCGTCAGGCCCATTGGTGTGTTCTCTTGCTGTGAACATCGTTATCAGCTTCATTAATGGCCGCTTGTTCTCCGTAAATTCAATTAGCGCTGCAGACTGAGCCGAACAGCAGGGGGGAGACAGAGGGTCAATAAACACACACACACACACACACACACACACGAGACCCCCTGATGCTCAATGTATGCAGCTGTATGTGAAAGTCCCTCCCAAACACCATGCTTTTGTGTCTCACTGTCTCCCATTACTTCTGTCTAGAGAGAGAGAGGCTCATGGGAATGAGTTATGAGCACGAATCGTCAGACACTCTGATCAGATTCAAAAATAAAGACACACTTCATTAGTCTCGACATACCTTGGCTCATTATTGAATTATTGCAGATTTGCATTTCCGTGTTGGCAGTTCCCATGCTTTTTGATGCTGTTTGAGCAATATAGAATCAGTTTTTTTTTTTTTTTGCAAATGAGATGCGTAAAGTGCACTTTTGCAGAAAAATACCTTTGTCCAGTGTATTAATGTTGACACTGAGTGTCATCTCACCTTGTGAAAAATATGTACATGTACACATTAGAGTACTTTTAAAAAGAATACACACTACGCAAATAAAAATCTTAAAAAGAATATACTTAAGTGCGAACTGAATGTAATGTCAAACACTTAGTTGCATGTTATTTCAATTCATATTAAATTCAATTAGTTGTTTTGTCTCTTGATTTTCTCAAAAATCGAATTACTACTGATTCAAAATTGAATATGGGTACAGTTGTGTGTCATTTTTTTAACCAACAACATTAGATACATTTAGAATGATAGAATAGAAAGATTATTTTGCAAGTGAAAATATCATTCTCCCAAATAGTGTTATTTAATAATGCAACAGGGCTGAAAATAACATTCTTAAAAGTTCTCCATAGAAAGCAGTGGAGGTGTCTCCGAATCAGTGTGTTTGAATGATGAATGATGAAAGCTGAATGAGTGTGTGTAATGTGAGGCATTAGTGGGCCGCCGGCTCGCCTGCAGGGGTTTCATCATGGTCAATGGCTGCGTCCGTCTCTCTTAATGTGAGATTGAATTAGATAGTAAAGGGTCAGAATGAGACGGTCAGAGGTTCCACAGACATTGTGTGTGAGAGAGAAAGGGAGTTTGCTTAGCTATACTGCGGGGATACATTTGTCCCTGGAAGTTAGCTAGATCTGACAATACCTGCATTCACGGACATTTTCAAGAGAAAACAGTCCATAAATTAAATACATAGTAATTTTAAAGCTCTACTTGCTTGTTTATGACGTTTCTCCTGTCAGTCAGTGGGTCTTGGTGCAGCATAACCGATCCACTGTGATCCACTGATCAGTGATAACCACAGATTCATCAAAAACTCTGGGATAAAGCAGGGATGGTAACGTCTGTCCTGCAGAGTTTTGCTCCAACCCTGATAAAAAATGTCACCCGCCTGTAGTCTTAGTGATCCAGAAGACGTTGATAAGCTTGTTCCGGTGAGTTTTGAGTTGAACTCTGCAGGACAGCCAGTGGCGGTCTTAACATAGAGGCATAGGTAGGCAGCGGCTTGGGGCCCCTACCAGCGGTCGTAGTAGGGGGGCCCCCAACCAACCTCAAAAAAAAAAAAAAATAGAAAAGAAAAGAAAAAGCCCCTTATCATCATGAACGCTTCAAAAGCATAGTAAATGTTATTAATATTCTTAAGAAATACGTTGAAATGTTGAAGTAGTAGTTAAAATGTCCAGTTCATGGTTATCTGTCCCTACACATAACACCCCCTACTTTCACAATAAAATGGACTAGTCCGTAACGGTGCGCGGCGCGAAACCGCGAAAGATAAACACTACAGGAGGACTGGGAAGTACACAACGAAGCAAGACGAGTCTAAACGCGAAAATGAAACGCTTGGGAAGTTACCCAAGCGGCTCAAATAAAACGAAAAGTATTAGTATCAGTGATATCGACCTTCATTCATAAAAAGATGCCATTAAACAAGTATTTAAAATATGTCTTGGGGTGTATTCACACCAGGAAAGTCCGATAGTTCACTTGCTTTGGTCCGGACCAAATTATTATTATTTTTTTTTTTTTTTGCTACGGTTCGCTTTCACACTGCTCTTTTTGCAAGTGAACCAAAATTTGTAAACAAAACCACACGTGTGCTAAGGTCGTCCATTCATTGGATAGGGATTCTCAAGTAGGGAAATCAGGAAGTGCAAAAAAGGCTCAGCATGGAGATATTTCGTACTGCAATATTTGTTATTTTACTAATTTTGTGTTATTCTGTACAAACGCAATATGAAGAAACTGCGCAGAAGACGGATAAGGTATAAAGTTTTCATTCATAGAGAGGGGCTAGTTCACACATTCAAATAATGAGATTCTTATTGTATATGCTGCTAACAAGTGCTGTCAATGGTAACGCTTGCAATTTAAGTTTGTCCAGTTTAACGCAGCATCATCCTTGTATTGTACTATCGATACATTATATGAACTGCAAAAGCTTTTTTTGCATCTATGCGCGATTAGACTAAAGAGAACGCGCTGTATGTGAATGCCCTGATGCACACACTCATTCATTCATTCCATTCCAATGATGCACACACACGGCGCGCAGAAAGACGCGCAACAGTATCGTGTGGCCAGACAGCGCGCCGGAATGGGATTCTCTTTCGCACTTGAACAACAATAACACAAACCATTATGCCAAAATCTCCGACTACGGAAGCCTGTTAACTCAATTGGGTCGGTTCATGTTCACACCGTAAACGAACCGTACCAGAGTTCGTTTGGAAGCGTACCGAGACCACCTCTTCAGCTGGGTCTCGGTTCGGTTGTTTGGTCCGCTCCCGAGTTTGATTGCTGTATTCACACCTGCCCAAAAGGTCCGCACCAAGGGGGGAAACGAACTAGAGTTCGATTCAATCGAACCAAACAAGGCAGGTGTGAATACACCCTTGATCTCTACATTCATTTGTAGATTAACTGTGAAATTATTACATTATAAAATATATAAACTAATAATACAAACCTATAAAAATGTTTGTTTGTAGAATGTTTGAATTGTCAATCTCATGTGCAATGCCAATTGCAACCTCACTTAAAAAAAGAATAAACAGTGCTGGGTTTCCTGGCATTTTGGCAAAGACAGGTGTTATCTGAAACCTTATTCTCTGTTGTGGAAGGTTTTTTTTCCTCCTCTCCAACCTTTCTTTCCCCGCAGATTAGCTTTTCCTACAATTCAGTCGGTACATTTTTTTTTCCATTCTCATAAAGATGGGATGGGATGGGATGGGGGATGGGCCATATACGTAGCTTCGCTTTGGGCCCCCAATT